GCTTCATTACCGGAGAGGAAACCTGTTAGTTATGCTAATATCGACTTACAAACCCTTCATTATCGCTGATGAGCAATTAATACGCCCGTCTGTGCACCTCTTGCCTCGCTGGTGCTAATGCACTCTGAATGTCTCTCACGAGATACGGATGTTGTGTACACGAAGCCGCATACCGATCAAGATTGATCTCGGAGATCGGTTTTTTTCTTGTTTTTTATCTTCTATTTTAATCGCTTCTCTCTCTCCGCTCCGGTTTTCTCTTTACGAGAGACGACAACGTGTGCGCGACGACGTGTATTTCTTTTTTTTTTTTTTTTTTTTAATTCAATAAATAAATATTATTTGGAAGAAACAAAACAAATGTGATGATGATATCTAGTGCGACGAATCCGGGATGCCGCGAGTGCACGTGAACCGCAGTAGCGTAACGAGGAGAAAATTCGCACGGAGGAAACGCGAGGCGCCGATGTGCACGAGGTCATGCAATATAAAGTGGGTGTGGTTGGCGTTATTGCACGAGTTCCTCGATGGGAGGAGAAGAAAACGGACGCGCTTTGGTAGCCGAGAAGCTAATCACATTCGATAATTAGCCGATAGATTCTTAGCGATGACAAGATCGTCGACAAACAAAAGAGCGCGTATTATTAAAATACAAAAACACAATATTCCAGAAAAAAAATTCTCGATTTATGCACGTACATTGCAATTGTCAAGAAACAAGATATCGCGAGACGGCTCATCAATAACACACTTCAAATAAGAGCGATGTCGCGTATCTCGAACGAGAAGCGAAAAACAAGCGCGATCGGTGATAGCGCGGCTGAAATCGGAGCGAATGAAAGGCGCGACGTGGGCACGTCCGTGAAGACGAAGAAGGAAGGAAGAAAATGCGGCAGGAAGAACGAGAACGCGTATGGAGAGAGAAAGAGAGAGAGAAAGAGAGAGAGATAGAGAGCCGCGCAACGGGGGGATGTTGATCTGGTTAGGTCGGAGCCGGTCGGTCGCCGGTTGGGTTGACCGGTCGCCGTCGGCATGCCGATCTGCCGCGCCAGCGAGAGGCGCGCGACGACCTCGACAGGGCGTGGCGGGTCACCGGTCCTCGCTTGCTCTCGCATAGTGACGCGGTATCGGACAAGTTTCCTTTAAGAATCTTTAGCACAAGATTTTATTACGTAAGCGGCTGACGGTATCGCGAATTTAGGACAAATTAAAACTGACATCTGAATTCAACGAGTTCTCGAAAAACATTGGCGCTCGGATGGAATGTGTGTGTGTGTGTGTGTGTGGCGCGTTTTCAGCATCAAAACTGTTAAAATTTTTGTCACACGTAATATTTTCCAATTCCGTTAACGTATTCCGCTCGCGATCGAGCTGAACGATTACGAACATTGTGGGAGAGAGACAATGCTTTGTTGACCGATCGCGGCGTGTCGGGTGCGACGCAAATCGTTCTTGCAGCCGGTGCGCGCACCTTGTTGATACACCGGCGGCATCGCCCTTTCTCACGGAACAATTCCGCGCGAGGTCGCGGCGCTGGGGGAGACGAAAACACGCGCGTGGAATTTCTAGCGCGAGCCCGCCAACGCGAATTCTCTCAATCTCTCGCCGCTCGTTCGACCCCGTGTAGAATTCTGTGCGAGCGCATTCTGCCCTTCGCAGGAGCCGCGCGCGCTCCTCTTCCATATAAGGAAACGTGCGCGCGCGCGCGCGCGCGAGCAAAAGCAACAGCCAGTCTCTCGGTAGCCGACAAAAGTTACTCCCGCGTGGCCTCTCTTGTTCTCCGATTGGTTAATGCCTCGTTCGAAAACCGCCGCGACGAGTTTTATTCGGCGCGCCGCGTACAATGCCTCGCGTAGGTGAGATACACGTGTAACCCAACGTGTTAAAAAAAGAATGGTAGTGATGTAAAACACACACAATACGGTATTGCAATTTCCGCGCGATCATAGACACGGAGGCAGACGATGACGGAACAATAGCAGCCACCACTCCGATTTTAATTGCTGACCGATAAGCCTCCCAGTCGCTGAAGAAGTGACAACATTCTTCTCTCTCGATAAAAGTTGACTTGCTCCCAATTAAATCGGAAATCAAGAATAAACACGTTCTGTGCGTGCAAGTGTTGGTGTTTTACGGTACGGAATAACATCGTTGAAAATATCATAGTAGAGAATAACTTGCGTGTGGTTCAACGTGACGCAGTTTCCGACCGAATGATCTCTTCCGAGGTTACAACCGCGAGATTCCTCTCCGTTGGGGTCGGGGGGATTCGAAGCAAGAAAGAAGCCGTTATTTTTCGAGGTTTCTCCGTCTTTTCTCAGGTCACGGTCGAATGCAATCTCGCGGATTCCTATCCCGACTCGAAGAAGTTCTTTATTTCAAGATTGTCGACTTTCGTTTTTTTTTCTTGGTGTCGTTTCTTATTAATTCAATACAAAATTTCTCTTAGAGAATTTCGCTAGGATTGTTCGAATGTGTGTCTGTTTTGCATATTTTTGCTCGCGCGTGTCGATAGCAACGTTTATTTGGCAGCGCGCTAAAGCCTCTGCTTTTTACGTGCTTAAGTATTTTTGTTAATAAAAATTTAATTTGTTATTAAAAAATATAATTTGATACATTTTTTTGTCATAGGTATAATGATGTGTGCAAATTGTAAATTGAACAACACAAAGATTACAAGTTGCATTTATATTATTGCACGTTTCTATGTTGACCATTTTAAATTCCGCTTAACGCTTCTTGGCCCGGGGACATATCTGATAAACCTACGCGCATAATTTAAGAAAAGGGTACGCTTCTCTCTCTTTCTCTCTCTTTCTCACATTGCCTTCTGCTTCTCCGCTTGCGAGGCTCAGTGACGCGCGAATAATTTAATAACACATATGCTCCCGAGCCCCGGCGCGTTTTCACGAGCCCCGTCTCTCGTACTTGCAACACGATGAGTACACGAGGAGGGAGGGCCTCCCCCCTTCCCTAACATCGTGTTTGTGGAAGGTATAATTGATGCAGGACCAGCCGGAGATCGCGTTCGCTCTTAAGAGTTTGGAACTGGGTGGAGAAAATATAGGTTGTCTTCGTTACTCGGCCTTTGGTGCGCGGCCCGGTCGCCCGCGGTGCAACACGAGGATGATATATTCGCTGCAACTGCAGCTGCAAAAGCCGCGCGCGGAGTCGAACAGCCTTAGCCATATGCCCGGCCGGTTGTTTCGTGAGATTTCGAAACTCTTGCTTGCTTCACGAGCCGCTCGTCGTGAAAACAATGAGGCGTCCGCTCCTCGTCAAATCGCGGACTGATGCGGGTTTTAATGTTTTTAGGCACCGCGTTCGAGTTTACACGTTTACGCGATTCTCTCTCGCTTTTATCTGTTAATTTTCTCAAGAACATACGCGAGTAAAATTTCGCACAAAATTACAATCAAAAATAGCTCGTTTAAAACACACACCAAGTAAATAATTAAGAGGTCAAATACGAGAGCAACAATATTGGATTGTTAGAAAAATTTATAAAAATGTCATCTTATTATTAACAATCAACAACTTCTGTTTCTTGTTGATGAGATAACAAATTGAGTAATGACTCAGCAAATTTTTTTTTGCCGTGTATAAATAAACAAAACTTGTTTTTTGTGTGCGTAAAATATCAAGTACGATATTTTAAAGATAAAACTCACGAGCGATAAGTATTTTATAAACAACATTTTTTTTCCATATAATCATTTAGAAAACCTCGATGGAGTTTACGGTTGTGAGCGTAATAATAAAGCGGTCGTGTAGAGAGCTCAGTTTCACGGCGGAAGCAATTTCTTGCGCGTCGTGTGAACGAGTTTACTAATTAGCGTTTTACGGCGAGGCGATTGTGAGGAGGAGGCGGCTGTTCTCGCGCGTGGCCGACTCCGTACCGTTAGAGCCCGGCGAATGTACCGAGAATTCGAAACAGTATACACGGAGAGCTTGTTTACCGTAATCAATGACTGTACGCATTCATTTTCGCCGCCGATGATTAAGAGAGTATTACGAGGCTCTCGCGTTTGTGTTATCTCTGTTGATACCTCGGGGTCGAAACAACGTGGATTCTTGCGTTGCGCGAATAAATTCGCTTGATGAATTTTCTCGCGCGTTTTGTAGATTGTGGAAACGGTGATAGATACGCGCGTTGCATTTCCAAATGCTAACACGTACGTAACAACGTCGAACAAAATCGAACGAGAGTATCGACGCGCGCTCTTTCATCGATCGATCCAAACAATTTCAGTTCTTTCGAAAACCAATCGCTTATAGATGCTATCTTTTAGATGCGAAAGAAAGAGAGAGAGAGAAAGGCCTGAATGCCTAGAAGCATGAATGCACGACCTCGATCTCCACCTCGATCCGCGAATCCCCCACCTCTTCGGCGTGAAACTGGCATGTGCGAGGAAGGAGACCGGTCTGCTGCCGCGTTGCGTGCGCGACTCGCATTACGCCGCTGAATATTTCATTCATAAGCGGGCCGAGCAATTACTGTATTCCGTGAACGTGTGGAGAATGCGCGCGCGGCGGACGGATCGCCGTGCTTACGTTATATATATACACACACGCTGTTGCACCCCGTTGTCGGTTGTGTTGCAGCTGCAATTACGGGAAGGAGAGAGGTTGCAGCCCCCGGTTGCGCGGTGAATGAAACGCGCGATGTTCCGTTTTCACATCTTTGTTTTCTCCCTTTTTCCACGTCTTCCTTTCGCATTCTTCCTTGTTGTCGGTTCTTCTTCCTCTTCTTTTCGTTCTTCTCTTCATGAACGACTCGGGCACACACGTTGCAGCGCAAAAGTTAGCCCAAGCTTTTCGCGCCTCCGGTCGAAATTGCATTCGCGGAATTCGCGCGTATAGGTGCGGCGGTCGATCGATCGATCAGCAAACGAAGATTTTTGTCACTTCGGAGAGCAACAAAAATTTACGCGTGCACATCCTCGGGAGTACACATACTCCCGCCCGCTAATAACACGCTACCGCATTTCTGCTTGCAGAACTTCCGGGAGCATCGTATAGACGGCGCGGCTCTACCGTTACTCTCGGAGGAGCACCTGACAGGGCCGATGGGCATGAAGCTCGGTCCGGCCTTGAAGTTGCGCGCGATGCTGGCCCGAAAGCTGGGCTCCTGCACGGTGTGTCTTCACTGCGCGCACTGCCATCAAACGCCGGTAGCGGCATTGAACGCCGCGGCCGCGGCAGCGGTGACGCAACAGCAACAGCAGCAGCAGCAACAACAGCAGCAGCAGCAGCAGCAACAACAGCAGCAGCAGCAGCAACAACAACAGCAGACGCCGGGCCGACGACCCAGCAGCACTGGAAACTGACAAACAATGGCGGAGACTCCCCCGTTGGGGTCCGAAGCTGCGGCGGTCGGCACAGGCCCAGCGCCACTGTCTCCGGACCCGAACCGGGCCCTCAGGATAGAACGGCGCATACCCCGTCCGATACGCAAACCGGATGTCGTCTTCAAGAAGCCTATCAAGCAGTGACACGCGAGAAGACGCTTACGCGCTTATCAAGGAGTATGGAGACTCCGCCTGTTTGTCAGTGAAACGAACACTCGAGGGGAGTTTTGGAGAAGAGAATTCAGACTGCGGGGTTCGACACGTTCGGACCAAAGACGAATTCTCCTTGGTCTTTGACTACTTTATCGGAGAGAAAGACAGATAGAGAGAGAGAGAGAGAGAGAGAGACACGAAGGAAAAAACTATTTTTGAAAGTCTATATATGTGTGTGAAATTGATTGACTGACGAACGAAATTGAATTGAGTAAGTATAATTGCGAGGAGTTGAAGGCAAAACTCTGATTTATATCTGACGGCATATGTACGTATATACACACAGGCAGTGCTGTGAATGCTTTTACACATAAAGTCGCATCGATAATGCCTCATTAACTTTCTTGACAATGAAAGATGCAATTTCATGTGTGAAAAGACATTTGCGCGCCACTACGCCACGTACGAGAACTTAAAAAAATGTAGCCAATTAATGTGACTTTTTTTTTGTAGAGAGAAAAGGAAGAGAGATTTATAAAACCCATGTACATACGGCGCGAGCAACGTTTATGTTCGAGAGTAATCGGTGTAGCGCAATTGTTGTTGGGCGGAATTTGTTTCTTTTTTAATAAAGAAACAAATTGTCCAACGACTGCGTGAAAGACGAGCGGACTGCGAAATTCGCTATCGCGATGTAGTAAGAAAAGGAGCGGAGGTTCAACTCCTTTTTTTTAAGTTGCCGGGATAACTCGCTGCGAAATATAAGCGTTGTCTTTATAATTTTAAAATCTGATGTGATCTACATATACATATATATATGTGTACATATATATATATGTATATATATTATAGTATATATGTATATATACTATATACTAGTATATATGTATATATATATAGTATATATACTACGAATTCAGTACTTAAATCTATTTTGCACCGTGAAAAATAGGAAAAAAAAACAAATTAGAGAAAAACGCATAATATTGAACAAATAACATACTCTTTTCACTTGTAGTATGCAATTTGTTTCAATAAACGAGTCTTCCACAGCGAATGTAATGATAATTGTATATTTATTAAAAGTACATTTATTTTTTAACACATTTTCACTTTTTTAAAAAATATTTTATTTAATCGACCCAAATTCTCTTCGCGAGGCACAAATATCTTCAAATATTATATACGCAAGTACATTGACCAGACTAATTTTGTTCAACATGTAAGTGTGTAACGATTTGTTGTTTTTTTTTGTTGCAAAAAATAATCAAACATCAGTGCCTTCTTTTGTCAAGTCTTCCACGACGATATCGTGCACGATCGATTTAACCCCTTCAATTATTCTCAATTATCAAAAAAAAAATCCATATTTCTCGATCATCGGATTTTCGTGATCGCAACCGAAAGCGAAACCGCACGACATCGTTTTCTCGATCGTGTGTTCGAACGGCTTGCAAGAAGTTTGACTCTGTAATCGAGATATGACTAACCTGACTTTCAAAAAAAAAAAGAAAAAACAAAAAGAGACAAGAAGAAATAAAAGAGAAGAGACAGGAAGAGTACGTGAGAGATAACAAAAAGAAAAAAAAAGGTACGTGTACCTGTATGTGTACATATATAAGAATGAATGCGGATCGTATATAGACGCGCGAGTAAGATTTATGTATAAATATATAAAAAGAAGACGATCTATAAAATTAGATACAATTACGTGCAATAACAAATAAATAAATAAATACGTTTTTGACGCGATAATAACTTTTAACTCTATAACCGTAGGAGTTATATACGTATTTGCTCAAATCGTTGTTTCTTTTATATATTTTAACGAAGTTTTTATATGGAGAATATTACGATATAAATATAATATGTAAACTAAATTATATTTTTGCTAACGTTCTACGTGCAAAAATAAAGTGTACACAGGCGAGAGCTCACAAATATACACACACATTACATATATATATATATATATAAATATAAACATATATAAACACATCGATGACGTGTGGATGACGACGAAGTTTCGCGAACGAACCCGCGTGTAGGGAAAAAAATTGTACATTTTTATATTTTATGTCCTCTTTGGATCCTCTCGAGGTTCAACATAAAAAACGCGAACGTTTATTTATTTAGAGATGTAGCACACTCGTTGCCTTAATGTATTCACGTAATAATTAAGACGTAAGTGGGGTGGTAAGGACGACCGCGTTTAAAACGTACACCATTCGCGAGAGAAGAAGCAAGTTAGGGTAAAAAAAAAACAAAAAGAAAAAAACAAAATCGGTTTGTAAGAGACGAGCAGTATTTGTTTTTTACACATACATTAATCTGAATTTACTACTGCAGATTACAATAAACTCGTAACTGTATATGTACATATACACACACATACACAACACATAACAACACGCCTAAACAAGCACGTTTTTCCCAATACGTGCGTCCGCGCTCCCGAGTTTGCGTTTTGTGGAACGAAAAAAAAAAAAAAAAAAAAAAAAAGCAAAGATTTTCGCGGGAAATCATTTCGGAACGTGTTCGATTTGATCGAGCGGCGATCGTAGTTTAAAACAATCGGAGAATTGTCACTGTCTCTCTCTTGCGGTGAAAGAAGGAAATTCCATCTTGTATGTCGTTTCCTGCGGCCGATTACATAAGCGTCTGTTACTACTAGTACGAAATTACCAATGGTAATTAGACGTTTGTAATCGCGTGCGATATTACATTTGCCTTCCACCTCATGCAGAAAAGCTAATTGTAGGTTGAGGAGTTTGTTTACGTGTCTATTATTTATAATTAGCGCTACGATATCTTTCAACATACATTATACATATGTGCATACGATAAACGCGTGACTAAGGAAACATTTCTCTCCTTCCTGTTTGTTGCCCAATAGAACGCGACACTCGCTTCTCACAAGAGACGGGGCTCGCGCTTTTCGATTTACAAAGAACAAGCAATTAATTTTATCACACGAACTCGGGCGCGCTACACTAACCGAGAGAAATAGCGGCTTTTACTTAAACAAGACACTTGTACATAATGCTTGAGCATTTATTTATGTCGTGCTTTTACAAAATGTCCCGTAGTATTTTATTATGTAGTATTCTAAGTCGCGAGATGTGTGCGTGTGTGTGTGTGTGTGTGCGTGCGTGCGTGCGTGCGTTTACACGCTTTTGTGCGGTAACATGCGTACTGCGAGCGTTACGCGTTGATTATTATTTCGCGCAGCAGCAAATTCGTTCAACAGGAAGAAAAAACAAATAAACAAACACGAAGAAAGAGAGCGTCGAAATAATTAAATGTGATGACAGATTCTTTCCGCGAAGAGCAATTCAAATCAGTTGCGGATGACGAATAAAGAATCAAGACAAATGAAACGAAACCGGCAATATACAAGGCAAGTTTTTGTGATATTTCAAGATTTTCCATCCCCTCCCAACACACCCTTCTCACAGTTTTGTTCTTCGATATATATATATATATATACATATATATATATTTCGCTTTCTGAAAAGAAAAAAAGAAATCTATCGAAACGCATCATCTCATCTCACTCAATTTTTTCCCTCAAACTCTTTTTATTTTTTCATCGCGAGTCTGTTTTGTGTATTATCTTACGATTAATTGTCATATCATGTATAGTAGAAGTTAATGGTGAAAAGAGGAAAAAAAACAGTACACTGTTTCTGTTAAAATAAACTTTGTTGAAAAATATTATAAACGCTGTTTAATCTTTCTTCTGACCAACCAATTAAAAGTATTATGCGATAAGATTAACGAGACCCGCGCTTACATTCTTTAGAACACACAAAGAGAGAGAGAAAGAGAGCAAATAGTGCCACACCGATGCCACTTGTGAATTATTATCAGATCCGATAAAACGATAAAGAGACGTAATGTGACGTAAAACAAATAATAACAGCTTTGTGCTTCTTAAAATTCTGTAGCAAATACGATATCAGACACAGAAATTTAATTAAATTCCCATCGATACACAAAAAACGTTTATATTTTTGTGATATGTAAATGTGAAATGCGCATAATACAAAACATATGTATAATATGTAACAAGTATAGATGTATTTTGTAGCTTAGCTTTAAAAATCACCAGAAAAAGTAGTGAAAATCACAACAAGAGCCAAAGCACACACATATTGTAAGTATACACACATTATTTTTTATTTTCATACATATATGTACGGATAACATTGCCATAATTTTCTAATCTCTCGCAATGAAAAATGAGCGAAAATTAAAATATTAATTTTTAATTAATATTTTTTTGATATTACACCTTTTTATATAATAACATGTAACAATTTTACGTTTATTTAAAATTTCTTGCCTCTTCATCGAGTCCGCTCAGATCGTCATTTCAGTCTTGACTGCAAAGAAAGCGCGGTTATGAAATTAAAAAAATGAAATTACTAATTGCAAAATAACAAAATGAACACTTACACCTGCATGAATCGCGAGCACACCGTCTTCTTCGTTCGTCAAGATTTCTACGTGAGCTTTTCTGTCTTGTTGCACATTTACGACTTTGCCGGTACACTTGTTGTTTATCTTATCTCCAGAAATAACGTCGCAGTAAACGCCAGGTTGCAAACACGTGTAAAGCGTTTGCCTGAGATCAAATCTGTCGTTGTTGATAGCGACGAACCCGTTCTGCCCGCGACAGAAGGCGATTTGATTCTGGCCGTTGTCCCACCAATTCTCGATGCCGGTGTTGTTGGCGACATTTCGGAACCGCACCATGTTATAAATCTGACGCCATCGATGCTCGCAGACGAAACCGTTGTCGCAGGTGTTATCGGGATTGATGATAGGAGACAGAAGATTTCCGTTCACATCCTGGGGCGGAGTGTCGTCGAAATTGTTGAAGCTGAAGGAACTCATGACGCGCGGGTTTCCGTAAGGATGGGCCAGCATGAAAGCAACCGCCATCTGCAACACAATCGCTTTCAATTAGAGAAAGAAGAAGCCAGAATCATAAACTGTATTTGATATTGTTTTAAAATAGAAATATTTCCCCGTTTGTTTGAATGGAAATTTTTTTTTTTTTACTTGCCTTGTACAATTTGGACGACTTGTACGTGAGAATCTCAGGGTGTCCTCGTTGCGTATCGTGGTTGTCGATAAATACCAGAGCGTCCCTGGACGGCAACAAACCCCAAGCTTCTCCCCAATTGACAAACCACTTTAGATAATTGTTTCCCCTTAAGGCGTTACTGATCTCCATGCCGTGTCGAAACTCGGTAACCGCGGCGAAACCGTTGTACTCGTACTTGCTGATCGCCTCGCCGCCGTAATCGATCACTTCTTGAAATATGTAAGGTCGCGCGTCCTTCGGGAAATTGTGCTGAGTGTTGAGATTTTTCAGTCGGGAATAGATCTCCTTCAAATCGTTCGGCCACATGTGTTTGGCCGCGTCAACTCTGAAATCCCGAATCAATTGCGTAATGAGACTTCACTGGCGGAAATGATATTGCAACAAAACATTTTTATGGATGATAAAAATTTGCAAACCGAAAACCAGCCACTCCGACGTTGATCGCGCTGTTTAAGAAATTGACAATTTTCTCCCTTACGTATTCTTTCGATTGATCGAGATCGTGCAAGCCGACCAATTCGCAGTTCCGCACATTAACCGGATCCTGATAGTTCGTGATGGCGCAGGGCGAGTTAAAATGATTTCGCGTGTACGGTACCGCCGGGTAATCGAGGGTGTGAGTGTTCGCTTTCGAACCGCCGGTGCCGAGTGCGGTCTCGTGGGTGCCGGTCATGTGATTGAACACCACGTCCACGTAAATCCTCACGCCGGCGTTGTTACATCTGCGAACCATCTCCGTGAACTCCTTCGCTGTACCCGATCTCGTGTGCCAGATGTAGGATATGGGCTGATAGCGTTCCCACCATGGTCTGTTCCCTACGATTACGTTCTCCTGGATCGGAGAGACCTGCGGAAGTTGACGGGAGTTTCTCAATCATCCGCTCGCGAATAGATTAGTAGTGTCTTCTCCCTTTTGTATGGTGTGCAACATATTTAATTTCTGACAAATATATAAACTGCACAAATCTCTCACACGGCTCTCAAAATATTCAACAGGAGAAACAATGAAATCCGAGTGAGAGCCGAGCGCTGGAAATATATTTGTGAGAAATATATTTTTTTTTTTCAAATGTTACACTTAATGCACATAATTCGAAATTAAATTTTGTTTAATTAAATTCAATTTGAATATCGGATGTTTGGTTCGCATCTGATATAGAAACAACCTCCGTGTGAAATTTAAAAACTTATTGCGAAGAAAACACTGACCAAGTCAAACATTTTTGGATTTAATTTTTAGATTTTTTTTGCTTCGCACAAAGAAATTTTTATTGCGTTGCTAAGTAATCGCAGATTTTTTAAAAACACTTGTCGCTCTCTTTATTTCTAAAATTCTCACCTGAACACCGCCGTATCCTATGGGACCGAGGAACCTTTCGCACTCGTTAGCGATATCCAGCCACTTCCACTCGAACAGATGCACCATTCCATCGTGACCGGGCACATAATGCGAATCTTTCTGGCCGGCTACCGCCGACAGAATAACTAACGTATATACCAGCACTTGCATTCCGCACAATGATGACGCGGAACCATCCGTCTTGAGTTATATACACGAACGCGCGAAGGTCGGTGTCGCTTTTCAGATGAAATATTACGTGAACCTTACGTACATATAAAGCGCATGTTATTGAAGAAAATGTAATCGTGTTTTTTTATTATTGGCACAGCTGGAGCAAACACATCCACGTAAGACTTTTATCTCGTTACTTAACTAATTCGATAAATAACATGGTTAAAAAATGTGACGTATAATAAAATTGAAAATGACACAAAAATGGCAAAAAGTAACTTGTAACAAAGTCGTTGACTGAATTTGTTATGAAGCAACTACGTTGTTTTGTTTTTCGCTTGACGGACTGCCAGCGATAAATAAGTCATTGAGATATAGTAAAGCCGTCAAAACACACACGCACAAGTCTATTTATCATTAACTTGTCATTAACTTTTCTTATAGTAGAAAATTTGCTTTTATTGTACTTTTTAATTAGAAAGTGGCTTAATCTTTAGAAATTATTCTTCTACACAAATCGTGATCGTTATTTCTTATTTATTCAACTCTAGAACCATAATTGCATAGCAACTTTTTTTTCATTGAAAGTCGACGAGTCCAGTTAAAACTGCTTAGGATGTGAAATTATTTTATGAAATGTAAATTCAACTCCGCATTGTCTCAAGTGATTGGCTCGTAAGTTTATTTTCTCGTGTTGTTACTCGCACTGATTATATATGCATAGAACAAACATAAATCTTGTGTCAAGTACAAATATTTCTACGAAATGGAAAAAACAAAAACAAAATTGAGTAATGCGGACAAGCTGACGAACGATGCGGAGAAATCTATTAGCGGTGGTAGACAAAGAGAAACGAGATATCCCTCCTTCCAACTCCGATATCTATCGTTCTCAGAAACACAAAGTGTTATTAGATATCCGGAGCGATATTTTTTCAACTATGCGTTCTGACTTACAACGAATTTGATTGAATGCGCCAGTGCGTTCTCTTTCAGTGTGTAGTAAAATACTGAAATATTCTACTACACATTGAAAGAAGACTCACTCAGTGCGCACTAGTGCATCCAATTGAATTTGTCGTTAGATAGATTGGAACAAAAAATAGTGCTGCTTATCTCGCGCATACCGCCTTATCGCGAGTATTATGTTTGTTTTTTTTAAGTTAGAACGCGTAGAATCTAATTGGCATCACTCATCCGACGCGAGTGCGTTGCTCACACTGGGGATTTATTTCTCACATCGCACAAATAATGAAACGCAATATTTCTGCGCACACATAATTTTTATTCAACTATGAGAGAGAGTTATACATTTCGAAATCTTCGTTGTTTCACATTAGATGCGGATTTGCGACACGCTGTTTCTTCTGAAGAAGTAGTCTCTCACAACGAGTTTTTACAATTTTGCCTGTAATAATAAAAAAAAGATTTAGATAACACCGTTATCCGAGGTAACTTCCAATAGCTGAACATTTGTTAATAATTATTGGATATGTAAATAATTTTAAACAACAATTCCCGATGTTTCAAGTGCTCTTTAAGATGTTTTTAGTTTTTAAATTCATAAATACTCTTTGTTGATTCTTTAATAATATTAATAATTATTACTTCAATAAATTTTCACTTATTGGAACAGTTGCCTTCTCTTTGTTTCGTAAGCTCGTTACTTCTTTTACACTCACCTGAATATGAAGAGCGAGCACACCCTCCTCGTTCGACGGGATCTCAATATCGGCCGTACCATTGTCGTCGACCGTCACCGTTTTTCCGCTGCAGTTACCGTTGACCAAATTTCCGGTTATTACATCGCAGTACGTGCCACCGGGCAATCCAGTTTGCAACCTTTCGCGAAGATCACCGTCAACGGTAAAGGCAACGAAACCTTTGTTGCCGCGCGAGAAAGCGATCTGATTTTCTCCGTTGCTCCACCAGTTCTCTAACTTTTCATCTTTAACCAGATTGCGAAACTGGACCATGTGGTAGATCTGCGGCCATCTGTGCTCGCAGACCCAACCGTTCACGCACCGGCCGTCCAAGATCTCGGGCGAAATAATCTCACCGTTCGAAGTCGCGGGCGGTCCTTGGCTGGGATCGTCGAACGCGTAGGAACTCATGATTCGGGTGTGACCGTAAGGATAAGCCAGCATGAAAGCTATCGCCATCTGATATAATTCAAAGTACGTTGTAAAAAAATCTTTTTAAATTCACAAATGTGCAAAGTTTTTTTCTCGAAGTATCAAATTTCACCTTGTAAGGTTTCGGTTCCTTGTACGTGAGAATGTTGCTTCCACCGGCGCCGTGTCCTCTCTGATTGTCGTGATTGTCCACCATGGTTAACACGTCCGCGGAAGGTAACAATCTCCATTTATTCGGATCGCTTATTGTTTCCAATCTCGACAATTTATCTTTGTTACGGAACATAGTGCCAAGAATGATGCCATATTGAAATTCGATGACATTTGCAAAGCTGTTGTATTCGTATTTGTTGACCGCTTCCCCACCGAGATCGATCACCTCCTGATAGATGTAAGGTCGCGTGTTCGGCGGATATCCGGCTGCCGTGGACAGATCCTTCGTTCTGTTGTAGATAATCGCAAGATCCTGGGGCCACATGTGCTTGGCCGCGTCAACGCTACAGAAACGAACAATGTGATTTAAAAAAATCCCGATACATTTTATATTTTTAAATATTTAACATGTAATATAGGAAGAGAATAAGAGAGAAAGAGAGAGAGAACAACTTTTACAATTTTTGTTGCTAGAAAAAAATTATATATTTTTGCAATAAAGTCATTGCTGCCGCGTCATTACTCGCTAAAAAAAAACTCAAAATAAAATTAATCAATGTGTTTCTCTTAGCAGCAAGTATATTCTGCACGCGCGTCGTATAAAATTGCAACGAGTAACACGAGATTTTCCATGCTTTGTGGCTTTACTGCCGCGAGATGTCTTCTTGTAGATGTGGCCGCTAATTTCGAGTGCTTTTTATTTCATACGCGGCACGCCGAGATCGGTAGTTAACGCGACGCGGGTCCGGGGATCAACATCCCGGACAGTTATTTCCGCACGGAATTACGAACGTTGACGAGCTCGTTTAATTAATTAACGCTATCCGGCCAATTAAGATTTTTTACCGTTCGGCGCTGTATTACTGCAAAAATCTGAGTTAAAAAATATATGTATATTATTGCAAGAGTAGGCTCTTTTGCTTGTTGCCAAGTCGGTGCAACTCGGTGGCTAACGCATCGAGGATCAAAGTTCATTGCAACTCCGTGGAAAATTGATATTACCACGTAACGTTATACATTTCTTCTTTAATTTACTTGTGTGTAACACGCGATAGAGTTGAGAGAATTATTTTGTGTATTTTCAAGTTATTTCTCTTTCTCTCTCTTCGCGTTAATTGAATTATTTACACTATCAGATTATCCTTGCGTCGCGTATTTATATTTGTCACCAAACTGGCGATAAAACGTTCGTATTAATTGCCGCGTCGCGAATTTTTATTTCGAAAGTTAAGTTAGTCGGTGTGCCGTAATTATGAAATGTAGAGAGACATTTTATTCGATTAAAGCGACGAGATAAAGAGGTATATATACACAAGAAAGAGAGAAAAAACATTTGATATTACAATTCTCATTAAGAGAATTCTCATTAAGGCAAGATTGTGGCCTTCTTGTTTTTTTTCCTTTAAGAAAAAAACCACGCCGTTTTCTCGAATTACGTGCAAAATTATCGCACGAAGCGCGTGCAATAATTTTATCGCGTTTATATAGTTTTGACACACCTAATCGTTATTGCACGCGCAATCGAGAAATCGCGTACATGAAAAAGAGAATTTTTTCGCAGTAAAATATATTTCGCTTTTTTTTCTGATGAAACGAGAATTGTCGTTACACTGAAGTGGCGCATTTTCTTCTTTCTGTGTACGTGTAATAGCTAATGAAATAGCATGTCGTGCAGCAGGTACAACGCATACACACACACACACACACACATACACATAAACTATATCTCCTGTAAGTCTGTACGACCATCAGTTGTATATGTGCGTATCGCCGCATTTCTCCTCAAGAGACACAAAGACATTTGTAGTTCGCGATGTATAGCGCGTAAGTCTCGAAGACGGCGGCGCAGCCCGTTATCATTCCCGACGCGCATATCGCTCTTCCGCTTGTGGAAGCCCATCGGTTCATTACGGGGGACGGTACGATTTCGCTACGGGTTACAATTACGAGCGAAGCGCGTAATTAAAAGCTGATGTTTCTCATTTATTAATGCAACCAGACGAGCCGGTCTTCTCTGTCAGGCCGCGCGCGGCGCACCGCGCACTCGTCCGGTTTAATGTTAAACATCATCAGTCTTCGGCGCATCCTTGACGAAGGAGAAACAGAGAGAAGGAGAGAGAGAGAGAAATAAGAAGAAACAGAGAGATATGATAAAACTCTGCGGAATGCGAGATTTTGCTTTTTCGAATTTTACGTTTTCTCGTTTGCGTATTTTGCCGCGCGGATTACGCGTATCAATCAGCGCGTTGATTTTGCGCCCGCAAATATAGAAATTATCGATCGTCGCCGCGAATGACTCAATTAATTTTGCGCGCCTCTCTCTTCCGCCTAGTTAGGCGAGCTCGTTCGCATTCGATGCGATTAAAATATCGTTTTAATGAATCAAAACGAATTGCTTGCGAGAATAAAACTTCGCGCCGTAATATTTATCGGTCAAAGAGCGGGAATAGATATAATTGCGAATAATTACCGGAAGCCGGCGATTCCGTGATCGACGATGTCGTTGAGGAACTCGACTATCTTTTCGCGAACGTGTTCCTTGCTCTGATCGAGATCGTGGAGGCCGGACAGTTCGCAGTCCCGGACCTCGGTAGCGTTGTTGTAATTCTGGATGAGGCACGACTTGTGGAAGTCCGCAACGGAATACGGAACTGCCGGATAATCGAGTTGATCCGGCACTGCAAACGAACCACCAGTGCCGTACGCGGGATTTGCGCTTGCCGTCATGTGATTGAAGACCGTGTCGACGTAGATTCGCACACCCGCTTTGTTACATCTGCTCACCATGTCTCGAAATTCGGCCTCGGTCCCGGAACGAGAAATAATCTTGTAGGACAGCGGCTGATATCGCTCGTACCAAGGTCTCTTGTCGATGATGAGATTCTCGTTTATCGGGGAAACCTAACAGAAAAATTTGTTCTGTGTCACACGTTCAAAATACACACCGCTTTATTCTGTCAAAATTCTCGATGTTGGCGGAAACAATATTTTGTTACGTTTGCTAATATAAATACACAGTATAATATTTATTTTTTTAATTTATTTCTTACTATGTATTGATATTAATTTAATAACAATATCAGTATATATGTTATCTAATATATTTTGGAGTAACATAAAACAGAATTCAGAACCGTTCGTTTTACGTACTTGAACACCTCCGTAACCCATCGGACCGAGGAAGGTCTCGCATTCTTTGGCGATGTCCTGAAACTTCCATTCGAACAGATGAACCATCGTGGTTCTACCGTCCAGATAATGCGGATCTTTCTGGGCGAGCGCGCCCGCCAGCAAGGACACGAAGCTGAGTGCAAGAAACGACATTGCGGAACTGTGCACGAGAATCGTCGTCAATCCCATATGAGCTCGAAACAAATAATGACAACAATTTATATAGTACTGCTAGGTCGATGTAATTTCCGTCAATATTTATTCGCACGAACAATAGCAAAGCTGATAGCGAAACGATAAACATAACGTATGTCACTCACAGAGTTGGCAAGAAATACATTGGCAACATTTATCATTCTTTGAAACGACGTTAATTGCTGATGGCCAAGGCGATTACGTGTGCGATTGTCGTTACGGTTCGATACTAAACAGATGACAATTGTCAATAGAAACGCGCGTGAAAGAACATTAAAAAAAAAAAAAAATAATAACAAGATATGCGCAATTATTTGTTCAACACGAGGAAGGAATTCGTAATGTTACTCTGAGTCTCTTCTGAGCGCGCGTGTCTTTAATCAACAGACATAAAGCAAGTGACATCATCAAAAAAGCTGTTCGAAATAACAAGTTTTGAGATATTTAAATTGCATGTGATATTTTTTTCAGTATATATAATTTATTATATATTCACATTTTTAATGAGAGTTTAATCGATTCTCTCTATATAGATTTTCGTCTTATCTCAAAATTATCTCTATCTTTTCTCTTTAATGCTCGGTTCGGTGCCGCAGAGTTCTTTTTAAAAGGCCATTTACATCAAGACGGGGGCAGCTTCAATGGCAGATGGTGCGATTGATAGATCGAGACGGACTAAATCCCGCCGGTGTCTTACGTCATAAATGTAGCCGGGATGCTGGTAGAGATAAGCATAATTATTTGCGACGCGTCTGCCATCTGACGCTCGTAACGAGCCGATCAAAGAGGGGAAAGAGAGAGAGAGAGAGAGAGAGAGAGAGACAGGAAGAGAAAGAGAGAAAGAGAGAGAACAAGGTCGGCAGGGAGGTAACGGGTGCGAAATGTCACGATAATATTCATCGATCTCTTTGGCGTGTTGCGCCGCCTTTCGCTATTTATTTGATATGAATTGTCTGCATTTATCACCCGTTGCGTCGACCGTTCAACATTTGCCACGCAAACTACCGGGAACACGGTAGAGCGACCGCAGAACGGCTGGAATAGAGCGTAATCCAAGCGGTTTGAGAGAAGCGAGAGATTTACGCGAGAAGAAAATCACGAGGAGAAAATTGTGCGATATTTTTTGCGCTATTTTTCGACCAAACAAAAATCTGTCTTCAAAAATTTGTCACGCTGTTAACAAATTGTCTATTGGATGAAGTGAGATAAATTATGTGAATAAAGAGATAAATAGATGGGACTCGTGAAACTGTCAGTAATAAATGAAGGATCATTACGAGCAAATACAATAGCACACTCGTGTATAAAACATATGATTTTATTCCAATAAATAATCAGACATACTTGATATTTGGATTTATTAATTAAATAATAATTTGAATTTATATACAACAATTAATAAATATTGCCAACGAATTTATATAGTTTCCAAAACGGAGAAACACGGTTTTAACTTGTTCGACATAATATTGTTCCGCAATTTAATGTGGAACATTTCAGAAACAAATCTTTTAAAGTTAACTTCTCGGAGTTGAAAAATTTTGGCGTCTTTCCAATTAATTAAAATGTACTCTATCTAATTTGTGTTCAGTAATTACTAAAACATTGTCAAGTTTTTTCATCTGATTCTTGAGCTCCGTGATTCTAGTCTTCTTTTAGGGTTTTTTTTTTTTTTACATAAGAACATAAAAAAACATTACAATTATCGCGCTTCAATTTGGCAAACGATATTCCGATCGAAATAAAAAAAAATTTTACAGTAAAAGGAAAGAGAAACGGGAGTAGAAGATAAAGGATCTTTTCTCTCATATCACACATCTTTCTTTATTTTATATATACCTCGACTGACTTGGCTATGGTATATCACAGCAGTAAATATAAATCGAACTTCGGGTAGAATTATATACCGATCGCCAGCGAACTAACGTTTTAAACTTTATACGATTTCATAGAACTCTGCTTTCTTCTTTTGTTTGTTTGTTTGTTTTTTTTTTTCTTACATAGAGCTTCATCTTTTAAACAGAAAAAAATATAGATTTCTGTAATTTTATGGCACGTTTTCTTTGTTTCGTGAAACGAGAGAAATCAGAATTGTCACACATACACGCGCGCACGTGTGAGCGCGTGTACACACGCAACACACAACACACACACGCACATTCGCACAACGTTATATACTTATATCATTAAATCTATAGCAAAAACGAGATTTTGTCATCTTTATTACAATCATCGTAGCAAAGTAAAAACAAAAAAGAACATGGAAGATCGATAAGATAAAAACACAGCACAGTTGATATGAAAGACACACAGCGAAATTGGCGAAGAAATCGTTCAATTAACACGTTTACTGTCACCAATTGTTCAATTCGTGTTTCTGTCTTGAGACGTTCATCGGTGAGAATTTTCTTCAAAGTGTGCGTGTGTGATTGCGGCAAGACCGTAACAAAGTCGAGACAAGCTGTACAAAAATTCATTTCGGACGCTTTGGACACAAGCGCAAATCGCGCGTGTTACACTGTGCAATTATCGGACGCGCCTGCACGTCGGTGTGACGATAAACGTGTTAATTAGATTCAAATTGTCACGAACGAAAAACAAAACAAAACAAAAAAAAAAAATGAATCGATAATGTCTGCGCGACAATTCGTTATTCACACACATTACACATATACATCCATCTGCGATTATAACATTGTAACGACAAGTTCGCGCCACATTAGGCTGCTCAACGATGTAATATAATATATCGAGTATTTTGTGCAACTGCGTCCCTCTCCCCTTTTTGAGGGAGGGGGAGAGGAACAATGATGTGGCGAGAGATGTTCCGGGCATGTGCCTCAAATTGTGTACGCGGGCAACACACACACGCTCGGAAAGAGCTTCGTTTCAACGATATTGTATCTCACGTACGTGTAGGTGCGGGAAACACCCACGTGATATATTTTTTTTTTATTCTGTCTTTTTTTTTTACATAAATATCTCTTACATGTAAAAAACAATCTATAGAAATATATCGCCGCGCACAAACAGACGACAGTATACACGATACATATATAGATAAAAAGTAAAACGTGCCGACATTCACAAACGTATCCTTGACACCTAACGCTATCATAAGCTGCAATGTGCGACAACATAACGAAAAAACATTACGTACTAACTAGTGTGTACGACAGCCGTGTGTTTGCACTTAAATTGATTGTCCCCGGTGTTTTGACAACGCGTCGCTTAAAAAACACAAACATCAATCGCTCGCGTTTTCAATCGTCACCGCGGACTCGTTCGTTTTTTTTTTTTTTTTTTTTTTTTTATCAAAGACACGACGGTGTGTGTGTTAACTTAACTACAACGCAATGTTATAAAGTTTATTTTCATTATAATCTGCAACCACGCACGAACATTACACTTCTAGTAAAATAAACAAGTAAAAGGCTCCGAGAAATTCAAACAAAATCCAAAGGTCTCAAATACAAAGTGGTGGCTTGTGAAAAATTGCATTTCTATTAAGTAGATTAATTTTCATCAAGGTCGAATCAGCGTACATTTTATGAAAAAACAAAGCAAGTAATTAAAATAAATTAATTAAAAAAATTGAACACAAACTCGCAAACTAAACTTCGGTTTGTTTGTCCCATGGCTTGTCAAAAAAACCTCAAAAAAACAATAAGTAGTCAACGTAGTGGGAAAATTTCTTGTTTACACCACCACCTGTGTGTTTGAGGCTCATATTTGGCTCTTTTTTCTCTTTGGATTACATTTCTAATTCGAAAGCTAACGGCAATAGATAACAGCGTTCGTATTGTTTTCGCGGAGTTTACGTAAGATTCCGCGCGCGTTTTTCTTTTCGCACCTCCTCCTCCCCGATCTGCGTCACAGCCTCCTCGCTACGATTTCTTGATAATTAATGGCGCGACAACTGGAAAAAAAAAAAAAAAAAATAAGAAGAACACAAACAAATCTTTCTGCAAGACGAGAGTAATAACGTCCAAAGAAACGCGCCCGAGAGAGCTCGGCTGAGAGAGACTCATCTGTTACTGTCAACATCGTCGTCCATCGTCGTACCAGAAATGATACAGAAAACGCGGATATTTCCGTCGCGGTGGTATCAAATCTACTTTTAACAAGCGCACGCGTATATAGTAGATTTATTTCTCTTGAGAGTTCACGTTTTATTGTGACTGCACATATTGGATATGTTCTATAGTAGAGTAAGAAATTCGATAAAAGTGTCAACAGAGCGCGTTGATCGATAAGACAGAAGTGATTTTTTTTTTTCGTTTTTTTTCTTTTTAATTAAGAATAATGACGATGAGGTCAAGTTTGGATAGGCGTGAAAATTTATCATGACAAATTAAAGCTCGCGAGAAGATAGTGTATGGTTACACATGACGTGAGTTATATGTAAATAACCTCACCACGGAGGTGTAAATAATAAAAGACTACGATATGTGTTTAACGAAGCGGCGTCTCGAGACACACACACACGCACGCACGCACGCACGCACGCACGCACGCACACACACACACACACACACACACACATATATATATATATATACACGCGCACATAAACACACACACGCGCGTTGTTGTTTAATTTATTCCCAAATCAATTAAGATAAATGCGCAACAATCGTTCAATGTTTGACTGAACGATATGTACAAGTGCCCCGAGACGTCTGGTACGCACAGGTTTACACACACTTAACGTTTTTATAACAGAAATACGATATATTTTCTCTTGCAACAATAACACGATTGTCATATGTCTCACGATGCCCGACGGCTGTGATATAAATCCGCCGTGAATGTTTTTCCGCGATCAACGTTTGGAAATTTATCGAGACGAGAGGTGCATCCCGGAACGCGTACACGTACGTTCCCGAGCCCTTGTCTCGCGGAAAAAGAAGCTGTTTTTTTCACGCGCGAATGATGACGGTCTAGTAGTCGCGCGTCACTTCGCTGTCACGCGCGTCGGACACGTTAAGAAAAAGAGAGAGAGAGAGAGAGAGAGAGAGAAGAAGAGAGGAAGTCGCGTCAGAGTGCTTCTCTCGCAAGATGTAAAAGCAATACAAAGTAACCGCGCGAGTTAATTGCTACGCGTGATTAGAGCGCGCGTTATCAAATACAGCAATGCGCAACACCGTTTCGCGCGATCAAGTGTAATGATTCTGTTTGTCTTCGATATATTTATCTCAACATGGATGGATATAAAGACGTAGAGCCGTATAAAGCCGCGAGTTGGTCGCGGCCGAATCTGCAGACGGAAGCGCGAGACGAGAGATTGATGACACAAATAATATCTTTTTTTTTTTATTTTAGAATATGTGCGTTTTGTATAACCAAACCAAATTTCTGCGGCCCTCGTGTCGGAACATTATTCTGATGTAAAATCCGCTTATTCCCTCCGGTCGAGTTGCCGATTGTTGTTGTTGTTGTTGCAATTCTACGAATTGTTCCGATTGTCTCTCTCTCGATCGCGGCAATTTTTCCTCTTCCCGTTGCGTTTGCTCCAGGAGGAGCTTCCGCTGCTCCTTTTCGGACTGTGTCTCTTCATCCCGCTCGCTTGGTTGTTTCTTCTCGCTTTCCTCTCGCGGTTGTACATCCGCCTGTTGTTGCTCGTCCGCTTTCTGCTGCTCGTCTTTCGCTTCTTGCTCTCGCTGCTCGTCTCTCGACGGACGCGTTTCTTCTTCTTTTTCGTCTTCCTTCTTCCGCTCTGCTCCTTCAGATTTCCGCGTGATTTCTTGCTGTTTCTCCGCCTCTCTCAGTTTTTCCTTCTCTTTTTCCAATTGTTGTCGTTGAAACTTTTGTTCCGCCTCTTCCAATTTTCGTTGCTGTTCTTCTTGCTCCAGCTTCCGCTGCAGAGCTGCCTCCTCTTGTTCCTGCTTACGTCGCTGTCCTTCCTGCTCGATCTTACGTCGCAACTGCTCCTCCTGCTCCAGTCTACGCTGCTGCTGCTGCTGCTCCTGCTGAAGCTTCCGTTGCTCCCTGTCCTTTTCTATCTTCTGACGTACTTGCTGCTGCAGATGGCCCGGTTCCTTTCGTTGCGTCGATTCTTCGCGCTTTTGTTCCTGCTCCGGTTGCGTTTCCTGATGCTGTTGTTGCGGCTCCTGATCCGCGTGAACGTGAACCTGAATCACATGTTCCGGCTCCTGCTGTCCCTGCGACCGCACTCTCTGCTCCTTCTGCTCCTTGTCCCGCGCGTCGTCCGTCGTTTTCTCGTCGACGACGGCGCAAATGTCCTCGGCTCGCCGAGGCTGGTCCGAAACGGCCGCGATCGGTGCGGCCGTGGCCAGAGGTTAGTTGCTACCAGAATGTTGCTTCTGATCCGACCCTTCGTCGGAATCGTTCGACGTGCTCCAGGTCGTGTAGCTGCCGTACGGATCCAGAGACGACTGGACCGACATGCTGCGACCCCGTCTCCTCATTCCTTGGGGGGAGAGTTTTGTGGGGTCGACGCTGGTTGGATCTGCCTGCAACAAATCCCCTCATAAAAGAAATCGATTGATTCGTCGATTTATGCGAACTCTCTCTCCGACCTAAGCTGATGTTAAAATTTGTAAAGTTGTTGTTTGTTTGATTTGTATAGTATATGAATAATAGTAGAGATAATTCTTTTGTAGAATAACAACCTGATAAGCTAGCGCGTTCATGATTATCTCCGGCGGAACCAGCCCCAACGGATTCACCTCCTGCATCAGCACGGTGGCCGGGATCTTGTGGAACTGGATGTACTGGATGAAGATGCTTATCACGTCTTTGAGGTCTTGATGAGGATTGTTATCGCAGTGCTTTTTGCTCCACATTAGTACAGCCTGAAAATAAGAGATTAATCAGTCAGAGAAAGGAAACTGTTTTAATTAACCCGTTTTTTGTTTGTTTGTTTGTTTGTTTTTTTTTTTTTTTGACGTGAACGAATATTACGCGCCTGTGTTTAGAGATAAAACGGAGCGGCGTAAAAAAGCAGGCAAGGGGTTAAATGTGTTATTAAAATACGATTTATGCCGGGGAGGAAGGAAATTACTTGAAACTTGGTAAATTCGTCCGCGCGCAGTTCGTCTCGGCGAAGAATCAACAGAATAACGTCTTGGGGCAGCAACGTGAAAGATCCCAGATTCAACACCTCGTTGCCGTGCTCGTCGACGAATTCCAGTATCTTTGTGAAACATTACAAAATAAAATACACACGTAAGTACATATTATTGAAATGAGTTCATTAATTTGTTCCCGAGTTGTGTGCGCATGCGCTTTCGTGGTGCTTTTGTCATCAATTTGTTTACCTTCTTACTTATAACTTTCGTTAATTTATACTGCATATAACGGTTCGCCGATGCTAACAAAGCGCAGACCGTATCAACAGTTACGCAGCATTGAATAAAGCCAATACAAGCGTGCTTAAGTTGAGCTAATCCGTACTGATCAGCGGCTACCATTACACCTGCGAATACAGATTGTTATTTTATATCAAGCATCTCTCTCTACATTATTAATATACGAGAATTATTACGAGGCGAGAAATACATCCGCGACTTCTGTCTCCTTGTAAATTTGTAATGTAATAAAACTATCTCGCAAACGTGTGTCTACTTTCTACGCGGGGATAAGATAAGATAATGTCAGGATGTAGCTGTTGTACATAGGTATAATGAATCTACGTGGCGAATAATGGATCGGCCTGTATTAAAAAAAAAAAAAAAAAAAAAAAAAACCAGGCTGATTTGTATTGTAGATACGCACAATGTATAATGAATTCATTACCAAGCAAAGTCCTAGGCTG